CGTCCATCCTGCTTGTCACGTATGTTGCTAGGCTTGCTCTGCCTTTTTTTCCAAAAAAAAAGCCTGGCCCACATGCAACTCTGTGCCTACACGTCCTACATGCAACTCTGCGTCTACACACCCACTCCTGCATGCTAGTGCGCCTACGCATGCAGTTGTGCGCCTCATGCCTGATGATGCCCGCCTCGTGCTTGGTGATGTGCATGCGTGGGGACCGCTACGCCCGCTGGGACCGCATCTGCATGCGCCCGCTTCCTACGCCTATTAATGTTGCAACATGAAAGTACTTCTGCAACATTACGTCTAAAACAGGTGAAACGTTTATAAACATAAGTTTGCAACATATGTGTATAGCAACTACAACATCCAGATAAAACACATTTGCAATATATGTCTGAAATAGATGAAATATTTTGAATAGACGCTTGCAACATATGTCTGAAACATATGCAACATTGCAACATATGCAACATCTAGATAAAACACTTACAAATAGGTCTGAAATAGGTGAAACATTTGGAACATACACTTCCAACATATAGTATAGCTACTCCATCATATGCAACATCCAGATAAAACACTTGCAACATATATATGAAATATTTGAAACATACACTTGCAACATACGTGTATATCCACCGCAACATATGCAACGCTAGATCTACTTTTACAATATCCAGATAAAACATAATAACATACATTTAAAACACATGAAACATACGTTGTAACATGTGCTCATCTACTTATTGCCACCCAATGGAGGCTAGTTGTCGCGGCGTGGGGGAGCGCAGCGTGAAGCACGAGGCATGGACGGCATGAGGCATGGGCGGGGTATGTGACATGAGGCACGAGGCGTAGGGCACACACGACGCGAGGTGGATCTAGTGCGACCGTGCGAGGCGCGAGGTACAAGGGCGCACGTCACGAGGCGGAGGCACGATGGTTTTTTAGAAAAGGTGCGAGGTGGAGGGGCGCACGGCGTAAGGCGCGAGGCATAGGTGCACGTGGCGTGAGGCGGGTCTGTCCCATCCAGACTAGACGGAAGTCATGATAGGGGCTAGCGCCCGGACGTCCGGATGCTAGCCCCCGTCTCGACGCCTGCTCCTGCCCCACCTGCTGTGCCCGTCCCACCTGCCACATATGCTGTTAAGCCTGCCTCACCTGCAACTCTATGCCTGCACGTCCGCATGCAACTGCTGAGCCTACACACCCGCCCCTGTATGCTAGTGCGCCTACGCATGCAGTTGTGCGCCTCGTGCCTATTGATGCCTACCTCATGCCTGCTGATACGCATGTAGGTGGGGACCGCTATTCCTATAGGGACCGTATTTGCATGTGCCTGCTTCCTACGCTGCTAATATTACAACACGAAAGTACTTCTGCAACATACGTTTGAAACAGGTGAAACATTTACAAACAAACGTTTGCAACATAAGTGTATAGCAACTATAATATCCAAATAAACACATTTGCAACATACGTCTGAACGAGATGAAACATTTCGAATAGACGCTTGCAGCATATGTCTGAAACATATGCAACATCCAGATAAAACACTTGCAACAAATGGTCTGAAAAAGGTGAAACATTTGGAACATACACTTACAACATACATCTATAGCCACTGCAACATATGCAATATCCAGATAAAACACTTGCAACATACAGATGAAATATTTAAAACATACACTTGTAGCATATTTGTATAGCCATTGCAACATATGCAAAAATAGATTATTTTGCAACATCTAGATGAAACATATATCTAAAATGCATGAAACATACGGTTGCAACATGTGTTTATTTATTTGTTGCCGCCCAATGGAGGCTAGTTGACGCTTGTGCTGACAGCGCATGAGGCGAGGCGGGCGGAGACACATGAGACAGGGGTGGAGGCAGTGGTGGGGTGAGCGGCGAGGCGCAGGCGGGCGCGAGGCGTGCGCAGCAGATCTGGTGCGACCGTGCGAGGCGCGAGGTAAAGGGGCGCACAACGCGAGGTGGGAGGTTTTTTTTAGGAAAGTGCGATGCGCAAGAGGTAGGGGTGCACGGTTCGAAGCAGGAGGCGCAGTGGCGCGCGACGCGAGGTGGGTCCGTCCCGGCGGGACGGACGTCCTGATTGGAGCATTACCGTAGCTAAAATGGACTCTGGAAGCCTGCGCAGAAGGTAAGAAGCCGTTCGTTCCTGTGGAGCTTAGCATCTCACTGAAGACAAGTGATTCTCATGGTTTCATGTAGTTGAAGAGATTTATTGCCTTTGTTCGTTTCCTCCAAATAAAACTAGCAGATCAGCAGCTCTAGGGTACTGTTACTTGCATTTTGAATTTTGATCTTGAGAAGTTGCGCTGACGCTCTGATGCATCTTCATGAAGATCTATGTTGTCCTTTGTGATGAATACTACAAAGTACTTGAAACTAATTGCTAGTTTGAATATTTTTTCTGAAGTATGACTATAAGCTCTTGTTTGGGGATTACATTAGAGCAAAATTCCAATGAAAACTAGTAGTAACCATCATAGAACAATGGTTCTCCTTTCTTTTGTTCCTTTTTTTTGGAGATGGTCTTTCTTGTAATGTACTGAAACACTGATGTAGCTCAGTAGAATGACCATATATTAAACTTTTTTTTGATAAAAATCTATTAAAACGTTCGCATCTCTGTTTGTAAACCTGCAAGGTCATATGAGCCCTTTCTCACACAAAATGGCTCAATATCTGTGAACATTCAGTCTTTCTGCAAAACATAATTTGAGGCCGCAAATCTCTTTTCGCGCAGAGAAAAGATTATAGGACCGGAAATGAATGCACTCAAGTTCTTTTAGCAATTTGGTAAACTTCATATCTTTCACAAGCAAAATCATGGCTTGACGTTGCAGTAACTAATTGCATCACACTATCACCGCAGCAACATAAACATAGATGGATTACAAGTAAAACAGTCTGGACTTAGGCAGAACATGAGTTAACCAATTGCCCGAACAGGGGATGGAAAAGCCATGTATACCAGCAGGGTAAGCTAGACACTAACCTAAAATCACTTCTACCACCATATTGCAAAAGCTAAGCTGGCACCAACAGCAGCAACTGCTTGCCAAATTTCATTTTGCGCGAATGACTTGCACTTTCATCGTGTACTTTGTGTTTTCATGTAGCTCAAAGAGGCAGAGATCTCCCAGCTGCAACTTGTTGTCAGAAGCAAACTGTTTCCGCCCTTGCAAAAACCTTTTTGTTCCGGGGTTTCCCTTCTGAATTAGACACCGTACTTCCCAACTCTTGCCACAGCATTGAAGCATCAGTGTTTGGTCCTCAAATGGTAGATATACCCCAGCATATACTCTTGGCATGTCCTGATTGCAGTAGGGAAGTGTTAAAAGTTAACTGAAAATAGCTAAAGATGCTTGTAGATTGTAAATTTCTTCAAGGCACTTTGTTTAGAACTAGTAGTACTTCAAGGATTCAAAATTTGCTTGTAGATTGTAAATTTCTTCAAGGCACTTTGTTTAGAACTAGTAGTACTTCAAGGATTCAAAATTTGATCTTTCAGAAAAAATCTAAAATTCTTTTAGGTTTTCTGATTTTATTCTATTGACCTGGCCAAGAAAAAAGGCGAGATGGATTATGTGGTTTAATTTGCTAGTAATGGATTTGCTGGGCCGTGGCTTAGTAGAAAAAAAGATGGTGATTGGCTGATTGGTAAGAAGTCCAGTTCTATTCCCACTGGTACTTCAGTTACCCTATCCTGTTTCTGAAGTTGTAGCTCGCTCCCTCATAAAGCAGAGAAATGCCTGTTCTCAACAACATACATTCAAATTGAAGCATAATGCAATAGAATATCAATCCAAGAACAAAGTTCCAAGCTCACCATAGTCTGAGCTCTTCCTTGAACATTGCTCTTCTTCATGATGCATCCGTAGATGGGGATTGTAGAAGTACTAGCTCGGACTTTCTCTTTCAGTTTCTTCATCTGCACACAGTTAAGATATGTTCCCCGTGGAAGGATGTAACCTGTGTCATAACATGAATTCTGATCTCCTACACACAAAAAAAGAGAAAGCAATGTGAAGTCAAAAGTCATGATCTGTAAAGTAAATCCTACAAAAGTTAGTTCAACACGGTGACTCATAACCTGATGTGTCGGATGGGGAGGTTGATGGACTAGTCTTAACATTCATACTTCCCTTCCTTTCCTTCCAAGCTTTCCTTTCTTAACATTCATACTTCCTTCCTTTCCTTCCATTCCATGGGAAGAAGATCTTCAGAACTGCTTGAAATTTCAATATGCTCTTCCCTTCTTTCTCTGCCACGGATATGGTTTCTCTTCACAAGGCATGATGGCACTTTCTCGCAACAACTAAGATCAAATATCAAAATCTTCAATCGAGAAGTCCCGTCGTACTTGAATACCAAGAAGTCCCCCATGTTCAAGTCATGGGCAGTAACAAACTCCTTCCATCCCATTTTAAGGACTACTTTGCCCAGATTCTTAGCTACTTCAACATCAAAAGTGTGTCCACAGCGTGATTCTAGCTTAACACTGTTTGGTATTAGCCCTCTGAAACGTTGCACGAATTTACCAGGTATGGCCTGCAGCAATAACACGCAGCAAGCTCTTATACATATCTTCAATTGAAGATACAGAGTAGTACATAGTTGCCCACGTCTAAGGATCAAGTTTTATAAACTGATTATAACTATATCAATACGTCCAACATGTTAAAGAACCAATAAACGTTCTCAGGTTGCACAAGCATTCCTGTCAAAATCTGCATATATAGCTTCAGAAGTTCAGAACAATAATACAGCAGATATATCTTGGGTTTCAATCTGCATCTACAACTACATGAGGCCAAATCTTTCCATTCAGGTTTCTTCTGGGACTTAGTTTTGGTAGCACATATAATTGCTAGCACAATATCTGCACTTCTGAGCACGCAGAGATGGTGGTGACAGCAAAAGTTAAAAAAAGAACACTTTCCAAGAACATAGTGGACTTGTAAACTTACCAATCGTTCACGAAAATCACCAACCAGAACCTTGAAGAAATACTTGTCCTTCTCATCCTTGTGATTCGAACAGAAATATGCATGCCTCTCCCTGCTTCTCTTACCCGGCTTTCTCATCTTTACCACGCCTACATCAAAGACAGTTGCATTCCGAGGGCACTTAATACTAATCGCAAAAAAAAAAAGAATAAAAGTTCATGAGTGATATTTGATCATTTGGGAAGCCCAAGCTTCGTAAGAAATATGGAGACTACATACCTGCAGGTAGTTGATGCCAAGCCCAAGCTTGATGATAGCACGCGTCTGTCAACCGTGGTAAAACTGACCAGCCTTGAATCACCTGATGGAAGAATGGAGACGCCAAGGGGTGTTTATGTCTCTTTTAGAAGTTGTGGAACGGAGCGAACCCTAAATCCCTGTTCGCTTCGCTGAAAAGCCAGGCTAAAAAGTACGGTTCGCTAATTTGTTGTAAGAGAAAAAACTATACTATGACTGATAAGCCAGACCGATAAGTTCAAGCGAACAGGGCACATTGCCAAGTCCCAACTCCCGCTTATTTTAACTCGCAAACGGGTAATGCTCTGCGTTCACAATGTCTCAACTCTCAAGGGGTGCATTATAGGTACAACCTTAGTCTTGGCGCATGAGCTAGTGGCAAGCAATTCAAGCGTCGCCATTATTAGACATACATACTCCACTAATCATCGGGACCATTAGCAATTCAAGCGTCGCCATTCTAACAGCATATATGGAGCTAGCATTCAAGCACATTGATCGACGGTACTGCACCTTTTGCATGAGGATGTATTGATCACCGGTATTGTTGCACGTATTCTTTTTCCCCTTTCATCCATCCGAATTCTGGAGGAACCATGCAGCATGGCATTTTCCAAGCCCATATTCACAATGCTCTAGTGTACTATTCTCTACTTTTTTGAGTGGCAGGATCTCTTTATTTTTTTTCCCGGAGACCAAACATGTTGGAGTAAACGCCCCAATTCCATTTCGACGGTTGTTCACCCGTTTTCAATTAGGGCCTTGTTTAGATTGCAAATTTTTGCAACCTGAACACTGTAGCACGTTTCGTTTATATTTGACAAATTTTGTCCGATCATAGACTAACTAGGCTCAAAAGATTCATCTCGTGATTTACAACCAAACTGTGTAATTAATTATTTTTTTATCTACATTTAATGCTTCATACATACGTCTAAAAATTGATGTGATGGAAAGAGAGTGAAAAAACTTAGAATTTGGAGGTGATACGCCTAGGCAAATGATCCAACCGAATGAGTCCACCACGGTCCCACGCGCACACGTTGCTCCTTGCCTTTTTCGGTTACATATTGCGCCTTGCCTTGCACGTAAACTGCAGGTGCGTCCATCTTTCACTTTTTTTTCTACTTTTTTCCTTTACCTTTTTTCTTTTTCACTATTTTCTCTCTCTTTCACTTTTCTCTTCTTCCAATCTAATTGAATTTTATGATCACAAATCTATAAAAGAGAAATTTGTGATGATAATTTGTCATGTAAAGTTATGTACATAAGATGTGGGTATAAGTTATGATGATAAGTCGTTCTGTATAATACGTTATGCACATAATTTATTTGTACAACTTGGAACTTTACAACAATGAAAAGATGGAATATTTTTCCTTTTATTTTTTTATTTCTACTTTTTTCTTTGCCTTTTTTTTACATTAATTAATCTATCTATTTTACATGATTGTATATGATTCATATGCTAGTTGTACACATATAATATAATGTTGTGCACCATTTTTTTTCGCTATTTTTTCTCTCTTTCTCTTCTTCCATTCTAATTGAATCTTATGACCACAAATCTGTAATGTGTAATGTGTGCATGAGACGAGTTCTTTCTCACACAAGATGGTGCACGGTTCAATCTCTCTGGAAAACATAATTTAAGCTGCAAATCTCTTGTCCTTGCAGAGAAAAGAGTATGGGACCGGAGATGAATGCGCTCAAGTTAACTTTTAGTGATTTGGAGAAATTTCATATCTTTCACAAGCAAGGTCATGTCTTGACGTTGCAGTAGCTAATTGCATCAAAGCAGAAAGAAAAACTTAGATGGATTACAAGTGAAACAGTCTGAACTTAAGAAGAACATGATCAGGGGATGGACAAGCCATGGATATCAGCGGGGTAAGCTAGACACTCAAACCTAAAATCACTGTTACCACCATATTAGAAAAGTGCACGAATGATATGCACATTCATCGTGTGCTTCATATTTTCAAGTAGCTCAAAGAGGCAGAAATCTCCCAGCTGCAACTTGTTGTCACGAGCAAACTGTTTCCACCCTTTCACAAGCCTTTTGGTTCTGCGTTTATTCCGAACTACACACCGCACTTCCCAACTCTTGCCACAGCATTGAAGCATCAGTGTTTGGTCTTCAAATGGTAGATATACATCAGCATATACTTTGGTATGTCCTGATTGCTGTAGGAAAGTGTCAAAGTCCACTGAAAATAGCTCAAGCTGCAAGTACTTGCATCAAGATTGTAAATTTCTTCAAGGCAATTTGTTTAGAGCCAGTGGTACTTCAAGATTAAAAAATTCAATCTTAAAAAATATTTTTTTCTACTTGGTTTTCTGACTTTATTCAATGTGATATTGACCTGGCCAAGAAAAAAAATGGGAGACAGATTGTGTGGTTTAATTTTGCTTGTAAGGGATCTGCTGGGCTGTGGAGTGGAAAAAAGATAGTGATTGCTAAAAGGTCTCAGTTCTCATCCCACTGTTTCAGTTCCCCTATCCCTGTTTCTGAAGTTGTAGCTCGCTCCCTCATAAAGCTGGGAAATGCCTGTTCTTCAACAACATACTTTCAAAATGAAACATAACTGCAATAGAAGACCAATCCAAGAACAAAGTTTCCAAGCTCACCATAGCCATTTTTCCATGAATACTGCTCTTCGTTATGATGCATCCATAGATGGGAATTGTAGAACTATTAGCTCGGACTCTCTCTTTCAGTTTCTTCATCTGCACACAGGTGAGACGGGTTTCCCGTGGGAGGATGTAACCTTGACAATGTAATTTCTGATCTTCTGGATATATAGAGTCTCCTATGCAGAAAAAGTGAAAGAAATGTGTAGTCAATAATCATGATCAGTAATGTAAAATCCTACTCAAGTTGGTTCAACATGGTGACTCATAATCTGATGTGTCGGATGGGGAGGTTGATGAACTAGGAATGACATTCATATTTCCCTCCCTTTGCTTCCATGCTTCCCTTTTACTTCCAGGGGATTTCACGGGAAGCTCTTCCCTTCTTTCTCTCCCACGGATATGATTTCTCTTGACATGGCATGGCGGCATTTTCTCGCAACAACTAAGATCAAATATCAAAACCTTGAATCGAGAAGTCCCGTCGTACTTGAATACCAATAAGTCCCCCATGTTCAAGTCATGGGCAGTAACAAACTCCTTCCATCCCGTTTGAAGGACTACTTTGCCCAAATTCTTGGCTACTTCAACATCAAAAGTGTATCCACAGCGCGATTCTAGCTTAGCACTGTTTGCTATTAGCCCTCTCAAATGTTGCTCGAATTTATCAGGTATGACCTGCAGCAATATCCTCAAGAAGTTGGCTGATAGTGCAACGATTTCCATGTCAGACGTCATAACAAACAAGGAGTAGTTTTAGTACTTTGTTTGTCCATCTAAGGACCGAGTTTATCTCTAGGAACTCTTAAACTATATTCATACGATAACATATTAAAGAATCAATAAATATTCTCAGGTTGCACAAGCATTCATCACAAATGAAAAATATTCAGCATATATAGCTTCAGAACAATTATATGGCACATGTATCTTGGGTTTCAAGTTCTATCACCAGATGTCCAGGTCTGGCTAAATCTGCATCTATAAGAGCCCAAATCCTTGTATTCAGGTTTCTTCTGGGACTTGGTTTTGGAGCAAATATAATGAACAGAGACGGGAGATGATGGAATTGCTAACAGAATACCTCCACTTCTGAGAAGGCAGAGTTGGTGCTCACAGCAAAAATTAAAAGAGAACACCTCCCAAGAACAAGAACAAAGTTGACTAGTAAACTTACCAATCGTTCACGAAAATCACCAACCAGAACCTTGAAGAAATACTTGTCCTCGTCATCATTGTGATTCGAACAGAAATCTGCATTCCTCTCCCTGCTATTCTTACCAGGCTTTCTCATCCTTACCACACCTACATCAAAGACAGGACATGCCAGAACAGAACGAAGGAAGTTGGAGAAGTACTAGACAGAAGGGTACATAATAATCGCAATGAAAAAAAACAAACAAAAAACTAGAGATAAAGTTCATGAATGAATGATAATCTTTGATCATTTTGGGAAAGCCCAAGCTACGGAAGAAATATGGAGCACGGAGTACCTGCAGGTTGTTGATGATGATGCCAAGCCCAAGCTTGATGATCGATAACACGATGAGCCTGTCAGGCGTCAGAGACTGACCAAGCCTTGGATCACCTCACCTGGTGGAATAATGGAGACGCATAGAGGCAGGGACAGTTAAACTCAGTAAATATATTTGCCGTGTCTAAATCTCTGCACTTTCTTCTCATTATGTATATTATTATAGTATTAATACAGCATGAGTAGTGGTGATACTACACGTTCCATCTTCTAGAATTAGGCTCTGTCATTGACACGACACACGAGTAAATGTAATGATAGCACTTGGCTATGTCATTAACATATCTTTAACATGAATTTGGAGAAGGAACTCTAACACCGTCTGATGGGATGGGACATGGGAGTATCTTACAGAGGAAGCCGCCGCCGCCAGTACCCCGTCGGCGGGCCGGCCAGTCGTATGACTCCAACTCCGAGCTGCGCGCCTTCGTCGTCCCCTGCAACTCTCTCTTCCCCCGGTTCCCCGATTCGACCTTCTCCGTTCTCTCGGATCTAACCCTCGCGACCCAACTCAACTCAATTTGCGACTGGCCCGGTGCCCCGACTCACTCTCGACTCTCCCACCGGCGAATGCGCCTTGCAGGGGCTGATCTCGGCACCCCTGAGCTTGCCGCTAGTTACGGCAGCGACTTAGCGGGCACCGTGTTGAAATTAATCTTATCATCGCAAGATCTTAAACCAGTCTAAACATGATCACTAACTCAACTTAGTGTGGAAATTAGATTTTAGATACTGACCAGAGCACGTAGATGCCATCTGAGGTAGCGGAGTTGATGCAGACGAAGTAGTCGTGCTTCCAAACCCCTCGCAGCGAGTCGAGCTTGTAAACCCCTCACAACGTATAATAGATCGGTTTGATAGATTTAGGTGTCTGAATTCAGCTTTGGTCTTATTGTTTATATACAAATGGTGGGGGTGGAACGGAATCTAGATAACACACCGCAGCGCCGAACTAAGGCCTTGCTCGGCTGGTCTATAAGCCGCTTGTGCTGACTTGTTGGGAGAGAAAAATACTGTACCATGGCTGATAAGCCGGCTTATATGAGCAGCCGAACATGGTCTAAGACGTCCGGAACGGACATGTGGACACTTTTTTTTTACGTTGAACAGGAGGGGCGCACCCCTACTGGTATTTATTGAAAATAAGAGTACATTATGGAAAATAACAAAACAAGGTACAATATGGGATATAGAAGAGCCTAACAAAATGGGCTCAAGAAACAAAAAAGGAAATGAAGAAGATGAGCTCTAAAACACAGATTAAACAAGGTTGTTTAACCATGATTCCACTCCTGGAAAGTAACTTCGTTTTGCGTGGAACAAAAGCAGCGCAAACTCTGATTTGAATGCCCCTTTTGCCTGTTGCAATGAAGGGACCTGTTATTGAAAATGAGCCCATTTCTCATTTGCCATATTGTCCAACACATTATTATAATGATCTCCATGAAGAAAGTGTCCCCTTGATGAGGTATCTGTAAACCGAGCCAATTCCAACAAGCTGTTGCAAAAGGGCATCCCACTTCGCTGGCTTCTGCATCCAATCCCTCGCTTCCTCCTTCCTTCCGCGCCTACCTCGACGCGTGGCCATGGCTATCTCCCTAGCCAGCGGCGGCACACTCCCCTACCCCGACGTCCTCCTCGCCCACCCCGACTGGCCCTTTACCCCACTACGGCGGCGCCCCTCCCACCACCCCAACGTCCTCACCCACCGGAAGCGTCCAACGCCCGTGGATCCAGTGGCCCTCTCCCCCACCCCGGCGAGATCCATGGAGCATGAGCAAGATCCATGGAGGTGGCGCGGCGGTGTTGCAAGGGAGTGAGCGGCTGTTGACGGTCGTTAATATCAATTATAAACCATCAATATATTCTACATATATACTTAATTCCATCACCAAATATAGGTATAGGGTTTTAAACTAATAAATTCTACGAGTTTTGGTAAATCCAGAAAACCGTCAAGGAGGATCTAATTGTCATATTTAGTCATGTTTATCTGCGACAAAAACAACTCCAGAAGACTCTAGAAGCCACCAGAAGGCAACCCACAGAAGCAGACCCTGAGAGCATGACATGTGGGGCCGGCTGGCCTAGTGGCCCCACCTGTCAACCTCTCTTTGCTACGACGGTTCTCCACTGCCTTAAGGATTAAATCTACGCCATTGCTTTAAGTCGGTTCATCCAACGGTGATCGAGGGAGTTGACACGGATCAATGATGTGGCAATGCCTTGCCCCCTACTCCATCTCCTCTATATATAGCAGCCCCTACCCCCCTCCCAGAGGCATAAGTCAGAGCAGAAGACAGAGACCAAACCCTAATCCTCAAAGCTCTACAATAATCTAGGGCATAGCTAGCTAGGTTAGATCTAGAGAGAGGCAAGCTTCACTTGGATTCCTGATCGTGTCAAGAGCGTGGCTTGGTATAACCTTTGTACCCCCTCTCTTTTGTATCTCTCATTACTTTATATGTTTGCTACAATTGTTATGACATTGTTCTTAATACCATTCATGTTCCTAGTTATTATGTTTATCGTTTACTTTGATTATATACTTAGTATAGCTAGATTATCATCATATTCAAACATAAGTTCGTATAGCGTTTAATCTAATGATCACGGGGTGAGTGGTCGACATTGTGTAAGCATAGTGCTTATACGTTGTTTACCTGCGGATATATCCTATATTCCAGGCCATGTGGTAGATCACGGATGTGACACTCCCGTTGAATCCTTTGTAGACCACTCCTCGAATATAGGTCAGCAAGTAGGATCTAGTTACGAAGGAAGACATGCTCTATTCTTAATTTTCCTTAATAATATCCCTTATGTGTAGATATAAAGTTGATCTTAGTCATGATTACTAAGTGTAATTGCACTAATCATCGTATGCTTTGACTTGTAATTAAAAATGACTTAGGAATTATGTCTTTAATATCTACTTAGTCATGCTAAAGTCATAGAAAGTAGTACTCTGAGTGATTAACTATTCATTATCAATGGTCAATTATCATGTACTTATCATATATATCTTATCCTGACTTACCCATACTTAAGTTAGATTGTATTTAATCTCACACGTTTTCCTGTGGATACGATACTTGGAATACTTCGGGTGAAAGCTACAATGGTATCCATGCGCTTGTGAATTTATCTATGTGCATCTAAAATATACCAATAAGCTTTCTAACGCCGTTGTCGGGAAAACGGTTGCTGAGTTAACTACGAACCTAGCTTAACTATTTATCTTTTGTTTTATTTTGTTTTAATTTTTCCTTTAGCATGGATAATACACCTATGTATCAATATGCTAAACCCACAAGTGCAAGCCTAAAGCCACCAAAATCTTCAGAGTTTATTATAACACCTGGTATGAGCTGCACCCGTGTTTAATAAAATTAATTCAGGAACAATCCTTCTCGGGAGAAGGCGATGAAAACCTATACTCACACCTATGGGAGTTTGGACAGAACTGTGTATGCTTGCATATTACTAGCATGTCTGACGAGACTTTAAGATGGAAGTTGTTTCCATTATCTTTGACGGGAAGAGTTAAACAATGGTATAGTCGAACCGTAGGAAGTATGCAAGAAGATTGGAAAACGATATGCTCTAAATTTTGTTTATGTTTCT